AATCGAGAATCATTCAAATCAACGCGTCATAAACCAAGAAACACTGCGACTAGAACGTCTTCATACGAGTCAAATGTTCACCAATGATCTGGCCGTGCAGCAGGCTCGGTTGAACACAAACAGGAAACTTTCACATGAATTCCCGTTTTAAATCAGTGCAGAACAACGACTATAGTGCAGACGTGCATTGTTGCGACTGGACAGTGCATAACAGGAACAACATCCAGTTATTGATGGCAAGTGATTAGCGCACTATCAGTGCTGTAAGTCAGCTGTTTTCCGTTTCACACAAACACAAACTCCAGTCTTTGTGTCCTCCGTTACGGCGCCGGATTCACGAAGAAACAACATCTTAAATGTCTGTTCGCAGTATTTAAAATCGATTTTGATTCTTAAAATTTGAAATCAATCACAAATAATTACACATTATAAATGTCAACACTAAAAGAAATTCTTCAGAACTTATTTTGAAATTCACCAGAACTTATACATAATGTATTGAGCAGAAACCATCGAAATTGGACTGAACAAAAATATTGCTGGCGATTCCGTAGCCAAACATAATACCACCATCAAAACAGTGAAAGCGATGTCATACACAGTATGAGCTGCTGTAGAAGTATGGGAATAACTTGTTACATGACGACAGTTTCATCATGTTCAATTCACTTGCAACGAACAAACAACAACCTTATCGTAAGAAATATTAATTTCATTCGAAAAATTCCATGTGAAGCTCTTTATTGAAGGACTGTTTCGTTTGCTTGCGTTGTATCATCCGTGTGCGATGAGCTCGTAATATTTGTCTGCAGACACCTTCTGTTGTCGCTGCTTAATTCGCTTAGTTGTCCTGCTGCAAACAAAACAAAACGTATGAATGAGAAATACTGAATCACACAAAAAACTGCGCCTTCTAACTTGTCTTCTGGATAGCCACGTCGGTATCAAACGGCGATTAACAAATGAATTCCCAGTTTGAATCAGTGCAGAACAACAACTACAGTGCAAAAGATCATTGTTGCGATTGGATAGTGCAAAACAAGAACAACATCCAGTTATTGATGTGAAGTGATTAGCGCACTATCACTGCTGTAAGTCAGGTGCTTCCCGTAAGAAATAATTCATTTCGAGAAACAATTCAAAGAAATAATTCATCCTAGGCGATTAACGACTTCGAAAGGTGGAGCTGAATTCTTATTTATGACCTCTATGAACTGTTAGGATTATAGATGAGTTTGGAAATTCGATGAAATGGAGACCGATAGTGAATGATGATAAAACTTGAATCAATCAACAAATTACTATATAACAAACCTATTCAGAACACTTTCAACGGTGGCACGATCCGCTGAATCGATGTTCGACGTCTTGAAAACATTATACTGAACGTCTTTATAGACATGATGACAGTAAGCACGAACACCACTCGGTGTGACTAAATGTGGGATTGTCCAGTGAATTTGTGTGGAGACGAGACTCGTGTCCGTGATTATCAGCACTCCCCATTTACCACCGAACATATCCTCCATTATTCGACGCAGAATCTACAATCCCAGAATACAGACTATGGAATAATTAGGCACAATAATATTCTCTTCACATACTGATGAATCACACACGCCAGCGTTATGAACAAGGTGAGCTGAGGCTTATCCGATAAGCCAACAGAAATGGCTTCGCTTGAAAGCGAATCTAAGAGAAATGATAGTGTTCACCTGCATACGCGAAACTGGATCATTGGAAGCAATCGCATCAGATTTCTCGATGATCGACTTAACTTCAGTCATCGGACACGCTTGAAGTGCTGCAAAATGCATCGCTAACATTTCTGAATTTATTTGACTCATTTTGATCACAATGACCATTGCAAATTTCAGTCAGTGATTTTCCAAGAGGTTTTCACCTGTTCATTTCGAATAGAAGTCTTAGAAGCAACACTAAGAACTACGATGGTTCCCACTCAGCGAAAACAGTATAAACGGAAGAACTTTATTTAATGAGATATTTTTAAGAATCGGCTCAGGAAAATGATTACATGAGCTCAGGGCTGCTGTGGTCCATATTATTTGAGCACCAATCGTCAACAGCACAAAGTTCATCATTGCTATTATTCGGCATCAAATAGCTAAATGTAGTGTCCACCGAGATGATCTGAAGAATTGTTCAAACGGAGCGAGGAAATTGAACGATCATCGCCAAATGTAGACCGAATGTTACTGTTTCTGTTGTTCTCTGAAAATTCGTTTTAAATTCAGTCATTTTGCAATTGTTTAAGACAGTGCTTCTCACGTTTGGGTGCTCCGTTACCCCTTTTGACGATTCGGCAGGCCGCCGCTATTGACTTCCTATGAGAACCT